TTAGTCGGAAAATTTGCCAGTACCTGCATCAAACACGTGAGGGTTCGGGTCGTGAACGGTTACACGTGGAAACTGTCGAAGTGTCCACGCAATGATCCAAACTATGTGAATTCGACAGACAGAATTGACCGTCTGCAATTTTGCTCACAAAGACTGGCGAGTAGACGGTGATGCGACGTAAGTGCAGTCGATTTCGACTGTGCATCATTTTCGAACATTGTGCGAAAGGCAGCTCGTTCAATCAACTATGCGTTCGGAAAGCAGCGAATCGTCAGCGAGCATCGATTTGTGCATATCCATCGACTCTCTCTTTCGGGGATTGGAATTCAAGGCCCATCGTTTGGAAGGTGCACGCGTATATGATACTAAGTCAACCAATTCCCACTGGAGCTGAGAATAATAACCCGGTTGAAGTTACCTTGAGCTCCGTTCTCGAATATTTTGAGAACCAGAACTGCAAAACCGTGACATCCAAATGACCTTCGATAGTGAGGTCCTGCTGAAAAATTTGCTAAAATATTAATTGCTCATCTCATGTCGCAAAAAGTATACTTTTTTACTTGATAGGAGTTTATCGGCAGTCAGTTAGCAGACAATTAGCTGAAAGCTAAGGACAAGACAGCGAAATGGAAGTCCGCATCTTAGCATGCGTATTAAGTTTGAATAAAAAATCATTCGAATCAGATTTTGCGGCTTTTACCCAATTTGATTAGACTAATGCCGTAAAAGTTCTGTATAGTATTTGGTGTAAAAGATGGAACTAATTCTACACAACCGTATTCAACAACCGAATAATAATCCAACGCTTTTCAGTAGTCCGATTTTGTCATGCACGTATAGGCCTATAGCATGGATATTGTTTCCGGAATACGCATACACTTCTCGCCAATAGAATTTGTTGTGAAAAGGTTAAAATATTGATCTCTCCTAAAGCCTCAGTATGATCGAGGGTGGGTGTCTAGGATTGCGACTGGTCACCCTCCCGTTGCACCTCGCGAAATGCTCCCACGCGACCAAGCGTCTCGAATAACCTCTGCTGAGGAAGCCCTACTCACTGCCTTCTCGTGGCAAAGGTGTTTTCTCACCAAAGTGATCAAATAAATGCTTTTTGCTGGTGGTGAACGTTTTTTTTTAAATAGAGACGGAAATGTGGACCTGTGCGTATCGTGATATCTAGTCACCGCGAAAGACGCACATCGTATTGTTTGTGTTCCTGCTCTGTGGGAAGAATGAATGTTCCGATCAAATGAAAACCGCGTCTGACCTGTTGATGAAGCTTCTCGTGTTTTTTACCTTTTCTTCTTTGCTTGTTAAACTTCAAACTTTGTTACCATTTGGAGAAGATGAGACCGGTACGCGAAAATAAGCAGTTCTACCAGATCTTGGACAAGTATGGTAGAAAAATGGTTCAGCGCCTGCCTTCAGTCACAGTTCTTTTATTACACACTTTTGTGTGCTGAACAGCAGACGGGGAAAGCCCCATAGTCACGAGAACCTGCTGCTCAGTGATGGAAAGCGGTAACATAAACCCCGGGACTTGGAGTGGCGAACCACATAAGGTTTCGATAGGTTATGTTTGGTATTGAACCGGACGACAGCAAAGCTGCCTACCACCAAAGTCGGGTGGCAGTGGCGGGGCTTGAACCTCGGACCATGGGGTCTAAAGCACGCCAGTGACAGTGACTAAACCACTGCGCCACAATGACAAACGTGTCCCAAACATGAGTAACACTCTATACCTTGAAAATAAACCGTGACAACAGAAGATTGGCATGTATAACACCGCTGACGAGAGCGAGATTCAGTATTACGTTTTTATGTCCATGGAACCCACAACTGCGTACGGCGCTTTTCGTTTCTATCTTCAAACTACCCGTTTGGATAAAAAGAAAGGAGAAAGCATATTGGAATGGTGCGAGCAGAGTCAAGGACAAGACTGAGAATTCATATACATAGACTAGGATTGCAAGGATGAAGAGTAGATGCACGACGCACGCCGGTGTTGGTGATACTTAGCCATATCACTCAGTGACTCTAACAACCGGTCAAGAGGTCCGCATCCAGGGACCTCAACGCGACCGATATGATCGAGACTCGTGGTTAGGGTATTCACGCCCTCATTCCACGTGTTAGTTTGATCACCCTTGATTTTTTCTACCCACTATCTGCCCCGATAAACATCGCAAAAAACCGTGGTAAGCACAACACATGAACAGAGGCCGGGCGGGGGAGCCTTACAATCGGTGCAGAATCATAATCAGGAGGGAATTAGCGCCATTGTGGGAAAAATACCGAGATGTTTGAAGATTTGTTAGTCAATCGTGATCAAAGTAGTGAAAATGATAACCGGCAAAATATGGCAGTCGAACAGGATGAAGGGTAAATGCATGTGTGGTTTTTGACCGGTTTTAAATTAGTGCAGCACAAGTGTATGGAATATCAATGAAAGTGGAAACCACGAAATATGCAAATTGATTAAGAACACATAATGTAAGCGAACATATGTTTTCGGTGAACTTCTATTCAAGCCTTTACAATAGGGTCAAACAGAAAGGTAGAGGAGTCATGCGTTTGGTAATGACCCCAAGAGAACTACAAATTTTGCGCTGTTTGTATAGCGTAACCAAAGTCGTTACATCATGGTCGTGTGAACAAGCGATTTTCTCTTCCCTTAACCAAGGGAGTTTGAGAGCTTGAAAGGATTTGCGTCGTGCACACAGTTCAGGCTTCATGAGTCGGATGCTAATCACCTCTGCGGTTGCTAGAGTCCGAAACCGTATTGCTCTCGAGCGGTGTGGTGAGACTCGATAACTGATTGTAAATATAACATTTACTGACCGTTGACTGGTTTATTATTGAACTCCAAACCCACCCACCTATACACACGGCACCCTAATTCATTGCATAAATTCACAAGGTTCTTCTATTCATGGGTTGAGAGCGAGCGCATGCTTGATTTTACACACCGAGACGAGTTTGTTTCGTGAATTAAATCTTCACTTGTTTGCGCGACACGCGGTGTGTTAGTTTTCTCATAGTTGGGGAAC